CGTGGGCGGGTGGAGGAGCCTGGCAGGGCCCAACCTCAGGTGCCTTCCCCGTGGCAGAGATTAGGCCTGGGTTGGACCTTCCTGGTGTGGGCATCACCAGAGCCCCAGCTTCCTTGCCCCCTTTTCTGCCATCTGGTTGTGGTTTGGCACTTGGCACAGTAAGAGTATAAATGGGTAAGAGCTCAGGGTCTGAGCCGACCACTGGCTCTAGCACTGAATTGCCTTCATGGCCTCAGGCAGAAGACTTGTCCCCAGATCTCAGTGTCCCATCTATGATGGCACCTATCTCCTGGGGCTGAGCCAAGCACTGAGTGAACTGGCAAGACAGGCCTGGGGTATGCGAGTGCCCAGGAAGCCTTCTCTGGGCTGCTTCCTACTTCGCAGGTTCTCTTTGGTGCTCTGCATCAGTGATCTCATTGAATCCCCCAAGCAGCCATTTGGACTGCATGCCATCAGTCATCGTTCTGCAGCCTAGGAAACAAATAGCCCAAAGAGGTGAAGAGACTGTACCACGGTCATTAAGTCAGAAGTGGCAGAGCTGGAATTTGAACCAGATCTGACCCCAAGAAGTCTGTGCTCAGCTGCCCGGTTTTAGAGTAAATGGTCATTTTAAAGCAAAGATGACTTCAGACAGGTCAGAGACAGCCAGTGGGCAGGCTGCGCTGAGGCTCAGGTCATCGTGGTGGGGTCTGAGATGGGAGTTGCCCTCTCAGCACCAGGAGACCTGTGCAAAAGTCTGGCCACAGAGTTGAGAGAAGATAGGCTTCGGTGACCCATAGGACTGGGCTCCAAGCCAGTGAGCATGTGCTCACCAAGCCTCAGGGGTTACCTCTGCCACCTCCTGCCTGATAACCTTGGAGCAGTGACTTCACTTCTCTGGGCCTCAGTTTACCAATCTGCAAAATGGAGAATAATCTATAAAATGAGGGTCATAAAATACCTCCGAGGGTTGTGCAAACACTTTCTACACGTTTAATTCTCACCCAGGCCAAACTGAGTCCTAATAAAGTTCAGTGTGGTGGGCACATAGGCACAAGATAAGTTACTGAGAGCTGACTGCAGGACTGAAGGCCAGGCAGGCAAAATCTTGCACTACACTTCTTGGAAGTGGCTGAGCTGGGTCTCAAAACCCCAGATGTTCAGATCCCAACACCCACACTTTTACCCACTGCCTCCCAATGCCCATATGTATCTACTGCCTGCATTTTCCCCCTTGGGTCCTGTGTTTTGAAAGATGTTTACTCCAATAGAGGGCACATTATTAAATAATCATGACTTCTCCCATTCTTTATTAATCAAACACATAGACCGCACTCAGAGCTTCTAATGCACACAGGCAGGCACTGAGGGGAGCTGACTCCAGCCCAAAGCAGAGATGCAGTGGGAATCATTTCCAGTTCAGGCCCCCAGAGCTGCGAGACCAGCCAAAGCCTGTCCTGACAATGTGACTAGACAAGGGGATACACCGGGAGGTGCCTAACCAGTGCCAAGCCAGGGAAATCCAGGTTTCTCTGGCTTCCCAGAGGGTAGGGGCTGCTGTCCAGAGCAGTGGCTCTGGGGGCCGTTTCTAAATGTCATTCCCAGTGTGAGCAGTAGGTGGGGCAGTGACTATAGAAGTCCCGGTGATCTGCTGCGACTCGAAGGGATCAGCCAGGCAGGGTGTAGGCCAGGCACGGAGCTAGGAAGAAAGATGAGTAAAGAAATGACCTTAAAAATGAAGTCCTGGAGGGAGACAGATCCATTCCTAGTGTGTCATTTCTTGACCCCTCCCAGTCCGGATTCAGGCAGGTGCCTCGTGTATGTTTTCACAGATCCTTGCGCTGGGCTCTCAGTACATGTAACAGCTCGTAATTTTGTCTTTGTGTTGCTTATTGTAATACATATTTGTATTAAATGGTCACCCCACCACATCATGAGCGAGGGAGGGCCAATGCGGTGTATGTCACTGTTACATCCCCAGCTGGCACACAGTAGCCTCAGGCCCAGATCAGGTTCATCAGTGAATGAATGAGAAGCTCTAAAGAGGAAAGGCATTATAGGCCAGAGTCAGAGCTGTGACCATGACAGGACCCTCCTCTTGGCTCACTTTCTTCCAATCCTCAGGTCTCAGCTCAGCCATCCCCTCCAAGAAGCCCTCCTGTTGTCCCCCAAGATGCCTCCCCTCCCCTCCCCCAGCCCTGCCCTGCCCGCTTGACTGTGAGCCCCAGGAGGGCAGGGCAGGGCTGTCTTTGTCACTGTCCCCAGCATCATGGAGATAAGACTTGCCTTACAGTCAGCCCTCTCTTAGAGCCTGCTGAGTGAGCAAATGCCTGTGCCAGCCTGGAGCCCAAAACGCGCCAGCATGCCTGAGGGGAGTGATTAAGCCCTGACGGAGGAAGAGGGGTTTAAGCAGGACCACCAAGGGCCAGGGTGCTTTTGATGGAGGGAGAAGGGGAAATGCTATTCCAGGAAGGATGAGCTCAGTGAGCAAAGAGGTGGAGGCCCGAAAGGTCACGGGCGCGTTGGGGGAGATTGCTGTCTGTGCGGCTGAGCAGAGTGAATGGGAGTTGGCCCTTGGCCTCCAGGCCGTGGGAGCCCTTGAACTTGGCAAGCAGAGAGGCTACACGGGCAGTTGAGTCAGGACACCAGCTAGGAGACGAGTTCCCAAATCATCCCCGAGGGCTGGGGGTGGACAGGGTGGGAGTTGTTTGAAACCCCTACGCGGCAGACAGTGTAGACATCTAGGCCAGAGGTGGTGGCGGTAGAGGGGGAGGCAGATTCCAGAGATGTTGGGACCGGCGGTTAAGAGCCAGCAGGAAACCAGCAACACTTCACCCTCTTCCCTTAAACCGCATCTGAAAGATGGGCGTGATAATAGACCCGCCTCGGGCCGGGGTGCTGTGGGTTGAATTTCCAGCCCCGCGCTGGCCTTTAGTGAGCCCTACGGCCGCCTGGAGGGAACTGACCCACCTTCAGGGGCAGCACAGAGACAGGAGGTAAGTCGTGCCCTGGACAGCAGGCCCCTCTCAGCTCTCACCCCTCTGCAGCCCCTCCACCGCCCTCTGGGGGTCCCTTTGGGTGGCTCCCCACTGAGCCTGGGCCATGTTGTTAACAAAGACCGGACCCCACCAGAGGTTTCTTCACCTGTTTTTTGTACAAATGAACTTTATTATTAAATTCAACCAAATAATATTACTTTGTCGAGTCTGCTATAAAAATTTCTACACACTCTCAATTTTTTTTCAGTATAACATGGTTTTTTTTTTTTTATTGTGGTAAAATGCCCATAACATAAAATTTATTACTTTAACCATTTTAAAGTGTACAATTCAGAGGCATTTGGTACATTCACAATGTTGTGCGACCACTACTATCTAGTTCTAGAACATGCTCATCACCCCAAAAGGAAACCCCAAACCCGTTAAGCAGTCATCTTGACCTATTTTTGACTCTCCCAGACACCCCTTTTCTTCTTGATATGATTAGAAACATAGTGACTGAAGACAAATGTCAAAACAATGGAGCAAACATTGCTTTGTTGTCAAACTACATTTGCCCAGAGAGCCAGAAAGCGACAGTCCTATTTACTGTAGGCTCCCTCCAGGCCCTGTGCTGAAGGCTTTTCAGGGCTAACCATTTCATCCTCAGCACAGCCCTGTAAGCGAAGTCCTAGGCTTTGATCACCCTTCTACGCTAAAGGAAGCCAAAGTACAGAGAGGCAAAGTCACTGGCCCAACAAGTGCGCTGGGCTCCAGAGACGGACCAGCTCTGCCCGCAGGCTGCTTTCTTCTTGCTGTGTGACCTGGGGCTGGTTAATTGCCCCCTCTGGGCCTTGATTCTGGCCTCTGTAGAAGGGCTCTAATAGCAGGCTGGAGTAGGAGGGTACATATCACACAGTACACATCACCAGTGTTAGCTGCTGTAGACGGCTCTTGCCTTGCCTAGCTCCCTTCCCCAGGTCTGGATTTATTGTTTTAACCCAGGAGCAAGTGAGAAAGGGGAACTGGGGTGGGCTGGGGTTGGGGAGTGGGAGGTGCTTTCCCATTAACTCTCCCACCACTCTAAGCACACTTCTGTTCAACTTTTTAGCTCACTGGCTCACTCCTGGGCACCCTTGATTCTGGCCCTCTCTGAGGGCAGGGTATGGCAACAAGAACGGGGTAGGGGTGGAAGTCTGGAAATCACCCAACAGAGTGCAGGGCAGGGCAGAGACTGCTCTGTGTCTCCAGCACCTGGCAGAGTCAGCGCCCACTATTTGTTGAACGAATGAATGAATGAATGAAAATTTTGTGAGGGCTCCAAGGACACAAAAGGTGAGATCAGGCTCTGTCTGGAGGCAGCTATTTATTTGGGGACAGGCACAGGGCTTGGTTTGCGTTCTTGGGCCATCCCTGGGATTCATACCCCACACCTGTGCCCCCACAGTCCAAGCCTTACAACTACCAAGCCACACCAAGTTTCCTAGGCACACGCCCAGCAGTGTCACCCCCAATTCAGCATCTCCCCTTCCCCCCGCTTCTCCTGGGGGGACAGAGCCCCCAAGTTAGATGGGGAATCAGAAGTCAGGGGAGGCAGAGAGGAGGTGGCTCCTGGAGTGGCCTAGGAGAGGGTAGGACCATCCCCTGGAGACCGGGGTACCCTGAATGGATGGGGATTGGCACAGGAACACTAACCGTAAGAAACCCCCATGCACGGGAGCTCTGGGAACTTTTCCGCCTTCTAAATATTTCGACAGTGAGGTGGATGGACCGGCAAGGGCCTAACCAGGCCAGCCAGGCCATTGGTTATTTTGAGAGAACTTTGCTCTTGTGCTCCAGGATAAACGTCCGTGCCCCTCCCCCCTCACCTCCCAGAGCCTGGTGTGGCCACCCTGGGGGAGGAGATATAGCAGCTGATCCCCCTCCACCACCAGAATTCAGGGGCTCCAGGGGCCTCGCTCTGCTCGTCCACCTGCAGCTCCGGCCTCGCCTGGCGCTCGGCTCCGCTCCCGAGGCAGGGCGGGGCGGGCACCGCGGGCGATGTCAGCAGAGGGAGCAGGCTGCCGCGGACTCCGCTTTGGACAGCGTTCCCACGGTGCTGCCCGAGCGCTGCGCGGGGGGCAGGCGTGCCCCCCGCGCCTCGCCCCAGGCCGACAGAGGCACCCAGTTCCCCTCCTTCCCCCCGAGAGCGGCAGGGGCCCTTGGGTCCTTCCCCCCCGAGGCGCGCTGGGACAGGGGGCTCTGCAGGGGCGCGCGGGCGGGCCTGGGGCAGAGGCAGCAGAGCCAGAGCTTGAGGCGCTGGAAGACAGCCTTGCGGAAAAGGATGAAGACCCAGGGGTCCAGGATGGGGTTGAAGGCGTTGAAACGGAAGGCGAGCAGGTCCCCCGTCTCACTGCTGTCTGGGGCGATGGCCTGGGTGAAGCCGCGGATCTGAGGGCAGGGAGAGGGTGTCGAAAAGTA